GCAACTTGCGACCATTGCAGACCGTATAGCAGAAACATTACCCGCTGCTAAATCAGTCTGCGCCACAAGTTCAAGTTCTCGAAATTTTACATCTGATGTAATAAGAAATGACAAAAGCGACTCCCTCGAGGAGATGAAGAAAGCAATCGCTGCTATGGCCTCCCAAATGGAGCAACTGACGAAACAAGTACAAAGCTTGCAAAAGAACAAACCTAGATATAGATCGCGCTCTCGCCAGAGATACCCCTCTAACTCTCGGCAGAGTTCGCCAAATAAAAACGGATTCTGTTTCTATCACGACAGGTTCGGTCAAAAGGCATACAAATGCGAACAACCATGCAAATTTAGAGCAACAAACGAAACGGACAGTCAGTAAATGCGGCAACTGATTGTCCCGCTGCTTCTAGCCGCTTATTCATACAGGACAGAAATAGTAATCACAGATTCTTGATAGACTCCGGGTCAGATATGTGCTGTTTTCCACGGCGACTCTTGCCTGGCAAACTTAATCCTACCAAATATGAGCTAAAAGCAGCGAATAACTCTTTTATAAACACCTACGGGCATTTGCCCCTGTGTTTAAATCTAGGTCTTAGACGAGATTTCACCTGGCGCTTTATTATAGCAGACGTTGATGTTCCCATCATAGGTGCAGATTTCTTGGCAAAATATCATCTACTACCAGATTGCCATGACACAAAGCTAATTGACGGTGTAACAAACCTCTCAACACCTGGACACAAAGCGAACATCAGACAAACTAGCATCAAGGAAATATCTGCTCACAAATGTTCCATTTTAGCTGATTTTCCAAATCTGACCCGTCCAGCATGCACGCCAAGGCCAGACACGCCACATTCCACAGTGCATCATATTCGCACCACGGCTGGCCCACCAGTATTCTCTCGTCCAAGACGCTTAAGACCAGAACTCAAGAAGGTAGCCAAAGCTGAATTTGAAGGCATGCTGAAAGAAGGTACGATTAGACGCTCAGAAAGCCCTTGGGCTTCACCACTTCACTTGGTTCCAAAGAAGTCAGACGAATGGCGTCCTTGCGGTGATTATAGAGCCCTCAATGCTCGAACTATTCCAGACCGATATCCAGTACGCCACATTCATGATTTCTCGCAACAACTGAAAGGCTGCAAAATTTTTTCAAAAATCGACCTCGTCAAAGCGTACACGCAGATTCCCGTCCACCCAGACGACGTTCAGAAGACAGCTATCACTACGCCCTTCGGCCTATTTGAATTTTTATATATGAGTTTTGGACTTCGTAACGCCGGACAGACGTTCCAAAGATTCATGGACGAAGTCCTCCAAGGATTGGACTTCTGCTATAGCTATTTAGATGACATCCTAGTCGCCAGCAAAAACAAAAAGGAGCATGAGAAACACCTTAGAATACTGTTTAAACGCCTCGAAGCTTACGGCATTTTAATCAATATTGTTAAAAGCGAATTTTTTGAGGAAATAGTTATTTTTCTCGGTTATGAAGTTTCTGCGGACGGAATCCGACCACCACCAGACAAAGTGGCAGCACTAAGAGAGATTCCAGAGCCACCCACAGCTAGCGGCCTCAAACGCTTTCTAGGTATGATAAATTTTTTCAGGATTTTCATACCAAAAGCAGCCAAGTACCAGGCAGCACTTCACGCAGCAGTGGCAGGAAAGAAAGGAAAACAACCTATAGACTGGACACCTCAACTCAAAGAAGCTTTCCAACAGTGCAAAGATCACCTAGCCGAAACAACTCTCTTGGCCCATCCAGATCCAAACGCTGAATTAGCTATCTTTACAGATACCTCTCAGACTTCAATTGGAGGAAGTATTCAACAGAAAGTTGGAAATAATTGGCAGCCGCTAGGTTTCTTCAGCAAGAAACTATCTCCTGGCCAGCAACGTTGGCCCACTCCTTACAGAGAGCTATACGCAATTTACGGCACCATTCAATGCTTCAGACATTACTTAGAGGCCCAGGTCTTTACAATATACACTGACCACAAGCCACTAATCACGGCATTCGATCAGAAAAAGGAAAAGCTTCCTCCAGTCCAGCTCAACCACCTCTCTTTCATTGCTCAATTTTCAACAGACATTCAGTACGTGAAAGGCTCCGCTAATGTCGTCGCTGATACACTTTCACGCATAGAGGCTATTGTCGCTCCAACAGGCAGTATAGATTTCAAGATCTTAGCCGAAAACCAAGAAACAGATGACGAGCTGAAACAACTCCTTCAGTCAGAAAATTCACTCAATCTCAAGCCGATCCAAATTCCTGGCACAGCTACTCAAATCTATTGCGATGCAAACGAGAGACCGTACATTCCTTACCCATTACGGCGTAAACTGTTCAACTCTCTTCACAATCTCAGCCACCCAGGCATCAAAGCATCCAGCAAGCTAGTAGCATCCCGCTACGTTTGGCCAAAAATCCAGTCAGACTGCAGAAAATGGGCTCAAAACTGCCTCCAATGCCAAGCATCCAAAGTCTCAAGGCATGTGCATTCTCCGCTTGGTACAATTACCACTCCTTCAGGCAGATTTCAACACATCCACATTGACCTTATTGGCCCTCTTCCGTTAATAGGATCATTCAAGTACTGTCTCACCGTCATCGACAGATTCTCACGTTGGCCAGAAGTTCATCCGCTACAAGGTATAACCGCCGAAGAAGTAGCTCAAGCTTTACTCAACTGCTGGATCTCCCGTTTTGGCTGTCCCATCAAATTGACCAGTGACCAAGGTCGACAGTTCGAATCGCAATTGTTCAAACAACTGGAGAAGATACTTGGCATTACCCACCTCAGGACAACAGCTTATCACCCTCAAGCAAACGGCATGGTGGAACGTTTTCACCGACACTTCAAAGCTGCTATCATGTGCCATCCAACACTCACATGGGTCCAGGCAATTCCAATCGTCCTCTTAGGAATCAGAGCTGCTCTAAAAGAGGACATCAACCTTTCGGCAGCTGACATGGTCTACGGCGAGCCCCTCCGACTACCGGGAGAGTTACTGGTTTCCTCAAATGAACCAATCTGGGAACCAGTGCTATACGCTGACAAATTGCGAAGCCAGATGGCGACACTGAGGCCAACACCTTCCTCAAACCACTCAATGCCCGGCTCATTTGTTTTCAAAGACCTTGCAAATTGTTCTCATGCTTTTCTACGAGACGAAGCTCGGAAATCATTACAGCCGCCGTATACCGGTCCTCATAAAATCATCCGAAGAGACGACAAAAAGTTTACGCTTCTTGTCAAAAACAAAGAAACCATTGTCTCCATCGACCGATTAAAACCGGCCTATATAGAAAAAGAGGAAAAAGGGAATCCAGAGGAAGCAAAGCCAAACAAGACGAGCCAAAGAACAGAAAGTTCAAACCAAGCCGAAGAACCGCTGAAACCTTACACGACAAGATCAGGGAGGAGAGTTAAGTTCCGTTTCCCCGACCTGATCCCCCACCAGTAAAGTGTCGTTTTTCTTCTTTTTCTCTCATTTGCCTTATAAAAGCTCTAACCGCAAATTCTGTTTCAGATCCTTTTCAATCATGCAGCGTAACGATGTCAATATCCTCTTCCAGAAAGCAGTCAATTTTTCAAAAAGTCACAAGCCCCCGCCTTCCTACACGTGGATCGTCCCAAGGAGAAGCCCGCACGCAACATCATCTCTACCTGCCCAACCCACCTCTAGCAGGCAAAAGTTGCGGACTTTCTCCTTCGCCACGTACGCCCGTCAATTTGGGTTATCTATCGGGCGCAACAGAAAAGGACTTTACCAGCCTCGTAAACCTGCAAAACCCAAGGTGTCTAACGGTTTACCTGCCAATGCGGGAAACATGGTCAAACCGAAAGCAGCAGCCTTCACGGTGGAACGTCAATTCTTGCAACTCGTTCCACCGGAAATTCTAGCACACGCACCACCAATCATCCAATACGAAGCCGACAGATCTTTCCACCCACAAATCTGCGCTTCTTGCGGACGCTGTCGAAACCTCTGCCACTGCAACAGTCCGCCGGCAAGGTGCACGCACAGATTTTGCTTCTGCCGATCACCAATGATGAAGCCACCCGAGGTGATACTGTTTCAGTCTTCTACAACCCCCGCTACAGACTCCGTCTGGAACCGAGGGGAATCCTGTGGCGGCTCCTCCGCCACTAGCGGTCACCTGCCCGCGCACTGATTGGGCGGCGACCTACCTGCCGCCGGCTATATAATCAGCCGGCGCGCCTGATCAAGCATCTATTCTACGCCTGACCGTCCACCAGGTCGCATCAATCAGTTCTCACCTGGCCGTCCACCTGTCTATGCCGTACCAACCGAACACTCTGTCCAGCCGAAGACGACTCGCCAACTGTCGTCGCCGCACTCTTTGAAAACGGCCCTTTTTAGGGCCACCAATCCCGAGCACCTTGGCCATCAAAGCCTATAGCTATTTTGTAAGTAGAGTTTACGAGAAGTAAAATTTTAGGAGAAAAGTGTTAATAAAAACTCTTAAAATATCACTGGAGTTTTTTAAAAAATTTTTGAACATTTTTCGTGTTCAAAAATTACGGTTATTACCTATTTTAAGAGTTTTTTAAACACTTTTTTCTTGTAAATACCGCTCGTAAATTTTACTTATAAAGTAGTCAAAAACGGCTTCCTACTACAAATATTTTAACAGTTTTTTAAGAGTTTTCTTCTTGAAATTTAAGTGTTTTTACCACGCAATAGACAGCACGTTTTCGGAATTTACATAATATTAATTGAGAAGTAGAGCAATAAATCATTAGAAAGCGTTATAATACGAAACCCTTTGAAGATTAATGCAAAAAATTTCGAGTGATTATCATTTCTACCAAAAGTACATGACCGAACAATGTGTTGTCTGTTACAGCAACAAAACTATTCCAGTGAAACCAACCATAGTGAGACTAATTCTCTGCTTTTTCTGCCCAATAGCATCAATTGAAGAGTGCTACACTTTTTCCACTGCATTAATTTACTTATCTTTAGTTACAGGTTCCGATATCCTTCTATTTCCTGTTCATAGTCCTTCCCCCAAGAAAAAACTTAACAAATCAAAGGAAAATAAAAAAGTTGATTTCGATGGGACCAAACTTGTCATCCAAATCCCAGGGCTTGCCGATTCCGCGAAGAGCAGAGGCGACCGACCACGGCACAAATCTCATCACCATCGCAGGAGAAAAAAAGCAGACAAAATCTATGAAGACTGGAACCGTAGTATAGATCTTCTGACCTCACCAAAAAAACGGAAAAAGCCTGTTAGAAGCTCTAATAAGTACAGCTCATGTGAGAGCCTGAGTAATGAGTGGCGTAGCTCAAAGAAAACATGCGTTGAACCGAAACAGTATCACGTACCTGTTGAGGGAAATCCATTGCTTGCAAAATTGCTCTATGCAGGTGACATCAACCCTGCGAGTGTAATTTTAAAGGAAATAAATGGGAAAAATGAAAAACCTCAAGTAATTAATCTTATATCAGATGTTAGCTCCACTGACCTAAGTGTGGACCATGATGTCAAAAGTCCTATGTTCTCTACGGCACACTCTGATGTTACTGATGGTGGCTCTGATGACTTTGTTACAAACCAAAATGCCAAAACACCGTCAGTCCATCATACAAAGCTCTCAGCATCTAGCTCAGATATAGTAGCAGCCAGTGATCCACTTACAACCTATAACCGCAACTGTCAAAATATAACGGAACCTCCCAGTAGTGGCACTCTATCTGAAACTGCCAAAATATTCTGTAATTCGGAGCCCCTTAAACATACTCCCATTATTCACATTGATGGAACATCGGAAAGTAGTGTCCAGGCTTGTGAAGTGAAAGATTTTGATACCACCATTGCTCCCAAAAATCTTTCCCAGTCTTACCTATCATACAACAATAAATCCGACCAAAATGATGTGTATTCACCTGAGACTTTTACTCCGTTCGATTACAACACCCTTCAAGACTCAGAAACATTAGAGCTGCGTGCTGCCCTAGCCAATAAGAGTGATCTAGTCTCGGAAAACTACGACTGTATACCCATGAGTTGTAGTGAAGACGAAGATTTAAGCAGTGTTGACTCAAAGTCTGATAAATCGGAGGACTTGAAACCGCAACAACAAAATAATGACACAGACAGTGAGGAAGAAGAAGAACTGCGGCTGAGAATAAGTGCTCTAAAAACGTGGCTGCAAAGGAAGTATGGAAAAACAAAACCAGGAGAAAACCAGAGTGCCTTTCAATCACCCATGGAAGGGGAAATCGAACAACCACAAAGTTCTTTGACAAAAATTGCATCGTCCAGCTCAGAAAAAGAAGTCAGCCAAAAGAATAATTCGCCCGACATGCTATCCTCTCATTCTGGTCCAATCCAAAGTTTCGTAGATACTCCATTATCCCCTAGTGTGGACTCAGATCAAAGCTGCTCTTCCAATGCAGCAATATCAAGAAGTCAAAGAACATCCAGTGTTATAGACAGGATTTCGTCTCCACTGCCAGTGGAAGAAATCATCAACGAGCAAAGAGAAGATAAAGAAATGGATGGTCCTCAAGATGAAGCTGATTTGAAGAAAGAAACTTCAGTTGCAACAATCGACAACAGTCTACTGGACGAAGAAGCGAGTGAAAATTATGAACTAGCCTTGCGTAGTTTATTAGTATCAAAATTACTAAAACAGAAGTTAGAAAACAGTAATGACCTTTTAACTGAGTCAAATTTAATCAACAAAGCATCTAGTTCCTTAATTTCTAAATCTCCAGGGAAGATTTCTAGTAATAGTAAAACAAGCCAGTCTTCTAAATTAATTGTTAATTCTAAGTACCGAACCGTTAACTCAACAAAGACAGTTGCTCAAAATCTTAAAAATTCCGCCAATAAATCTGGCTTAATACATTGTGATAGTTTCCAATCAAAATACGTGTTTAATAATTTTTATGAGCCACCTAGCCAAGTAGAAGATAGCAAACATTTAAGCTCTATTTCCAATTTTAAGATCCCTGTTGTTGAGAAGTTTGTTATTCACCTATCAGAAGACTCAGATTATGATTCTGACGAATCAGAGTGCAAGACTGCCCCTCATGAGAAGGGCGCTGGATCCAGTGAAAGCAGTTCGGGAAACGCAGTGAAAATACCCATGGTACACCTCTGTCAATATTTTTCAATAATTATTTACTTTGTAGCTTTTTGACTTTATCGTTAGGTCCCACTGTTCCTTTGAAAATGGTCAGCGAAAGAAAAAACAACAATCATTTATAAAAGAAATAATTTTTTGAAAAATTGTTCCGTTATATTTGTACTTTTCACTCTTTCGCTCACATTTTCGCTTGATTCTTCACTTCATAGTGATAAATTATTCAAAAGTTCCCGAGTATAAACATTTTTGACCAGATTCAATTAAGTTAATCTAGAGAGACATTTATCTAATGATGAAAAAGCTAAATTTTAAATTATGTTGATTAATCCTTTACTTTGTAGACAAATTAAAATTTTTTCAAAAACCGATCATACTTAGATGACTTACTTTTTTATTATTCTTTACGCACAATGGCCATTTTGGGCAGGCTGCCCATCTTCAAGTGACTGAACTGGTATGGAAAAATAAAAAATTCGGCGTGAAGATAGCCACGTCAGCGCGGTTATTATCACGACTCTGGTTCCCTCGATCAGCTAAACTCACTTCAGATTTTATCACTGCATTCTTGTATGATTTGAGCAAGATTGGCGGTGTTGTCAATGTTGTCACATAGCTATCCAATTGAGTGTTAAGGAGCTCTTTATTTGTATGCTGGTCTATTTCTAATTGTTCAAGTAAATTTAATTTTTTGCCTTCATTACACTCTCTAATTAGGTTTACTTTGCACTTATCTGGGTTGCAATTAGAGTCCTTCAGATGGTCTGATATTGAGGAATGATTTTTCCTATTATTATTTACATTATTTTTATGTTCTTGAAATATTTTTTGTACTGTATGTCCTGTTTGACCCATGTATGTACATTTTTCCACATTCACAAACAATGTTGTACCCGCCACTTTTTTAAGTGGGTCTATTTTTTCACCTGTGTTGATAAGTAGGTTACCCAGATTTTTTTGATTGCTGTATGTTGTCTGCACTTTGTTCTTGGTGAACCTTTTTATTTTATCTGACGGGTTATTAAGTAATGAAAGGCATTGAAACCCAAGCTAGATCGTTAACCGTTTTCCCGGCAAATAGGAGTTTTTCTTTTTTCTTTTCAGCTTTCCTTCTGATTATTTTTAGGATGTCCTTCATATTGTAGCCATTGTTTTCAGCTATGTTTATCATAAAATTTAGCTCCGTACTATAAGCTGTTTCGTGTGTAGGTACGCTGATTGAGTGTAATAAAGGCAAAAAATTAAATGTACTTGAACAATTAGAAATAGACCGGCATAAAAATAAAGAGCTCCTTAACACTCAATTAGAGAGCTATGCGACGACATTGACAACACCGCCAATCTTGCTCAAATCATACAAGAATGCAGTGATAAAATCTGAAGTGAGATTAGCTGATCTAGGGAACCAGAGTCGTGATAATAACCGCGCTGACGTGGCTATCTTCACGCCGAATTTTTAACTTTTCCATACCAGTTCAGTCTCCTGAAGATGGGCAGCCTGCCCGAAATGGCCATTGTGCGTAAAGAATAATAAAAAAGTAAGTCATCTAAAAAAAAGTATAATCGGTTTTTGAAAAAAATTTAATTTGTGTAGAAAAAAGTGTTCATAGTGCCGATAAAGTGTTAGAAAAATTGTGCAGTATGCTACAACATAGTAATCCTTTCTTGTACCATTTTAGCTGTCTCTGAAAATTAATTAGATGTAATTTTGTACACAATGTTAGCAATTTTCCATTATTTTTGTATTAATTCGTACATTTCTTCCAGGTGTTGCCAAATTCCAAAAGCTCATCAAAAATAACCGAATCTACACAACAACGCATGGTGGGCGAATCTTGTTCCACCACATCAATCCATAATACTGGCAGGGATAAATCTCCAGTTTCACAAACTGCTTTAAGTGACAGGCAAAATAGAGTTACTAAAAGTAGTCGTTTACAAACTGAAAAATCCAGAAGAGATACGCTTGAATTTCAGACTCGCAAAACTAATTCGGCTGCTATAACTTCAAAATTAGTGAAGACGTCCGGTGCCGATAAGTTGGCTGTTTTATCTAGTCCTAGAAAAATTACCTCTAGTTCATCTCTTGTCAGTATGGATGGGAGTGAAACGGAATCTACCTCTGTATTGAAAGAAGCAAAGAATGTGTCGAACTCACCGAGTAGCCATGAAAAACTGGGAAAAGCAAACAGCATGCTTATCTCAAATGTTCTTGTACCCGTTGAAAAGAAACTCCTGAAGTCAAGGTGATTTTCATTACGAAACCTATAAAAAACTTCCTGAACTAATCCTTCGTTTCCTTTCTTCTAATTGTTTGTTCAGCTGTGATAAAGGACTGCCTGTTCTACTTAAAATTCATGTATTGGTAGAGGAACCAGTCAAGAATTCATAATTGAGGGGCTTGGAGGACGTGGCGCATAAGTGCATTTTTATAAAGTTGAGATTTCAATGATTTCAAGTAAACTTGCTTTTGATGCATATTCTGGAAAAAATTCGCTCTGAAATTCCAATTTTTAAGCATCCCAAAGTCAGTTTCAGCTTTCCTCCCGCCAGAAGGATCCATGTAATCTCAAAACTTCAAATAAGTATTTCTCGAAACAGCAAAAACCGCACTTATGTACTTTGCCCTCCGAGCCCCTTAATTTTTTCAGAAGACGAACAAACATATTCCTATGAAATTTTATTAAGTGAATTTGACCTAATTTGTCTCATACAGGGTGTTCCAAAAGTCCAGCCCCCCCTCTCTAACTTTTGAACGGTTC